TGCTGTCAGTACGACCTTGAGCTACAAAAACTGAGAAAGCATCTTGTTATCCAGGTTATTAAATACATAGAAAAGGATGACATTAATCATCTGAGACGCAGAAATGTTCTTCCTGCTTTAAAGAAACAACATCAATCCTAATCTGATTTCCTGTTATGAGCCCGTTTCTGAGGAGATGCATGATGATGACTACGATGTTGTGAAATCTGTTGAATAAACCATGAATTCAACAACAAATGCATCTAAAGATGGGTTTAAAAGGAGCTCTTTAAGACATAAGACAGCAACATAAACAGTGAAAGTGAAAGGGTAATGAAGAGGAAACTGTTAAAGGCCTGCAGGTAATTTCAAGGATTTGGCTTCTCCATTTTATGGAATGTGTGGAACTTTATATATACGAGGATTACTTCTGTTTCAAGCAGAGCTGGTTGTTTCTAATCAAATATCTACACACTGAGCCATGAAACAAACCTATTCAGGGTAAATTTGGTGTGACAGGATTTAGCTGTGAGCTGTGTTGACGATCAAGGATGCACGGTTTCTGATTTAGACCAAACGGGGGATCATTTCTAATGATTATTTGTTAAATACATTGACTTTGATGATCAAACACAGGTTACATTACTTCCACAGATGGAGCACGAGGAAACCTTAGGGCCATAAAGAATGTTCATGTTTTAACTGATTATTATTTATGATTTATTTGCTTATATTTTAAGACAGTTTTGTTATATATTTATGTTTTTACATTGTTTTACTATTTCTACAGTTATGCTGATCACTATTTATTTATTCTTATATTACCTCGTACTATTTCATTCTTTTACCTATTCTTCAATACTTCACAGCGTTTCCTCTGTGGGAGTCCTCTGCCTAAGGGCCGGTGGTTGGCGGCAGCGGCCTGGGTGCTCTACAGATAGTGCTTGGGTGTAGGTGGGCGCCCTTGCCCTCCCTCCTCTGGGCGCCCTGTGTCAGTGTCCTGACTGCTGCTGTGGATCTGCTACTGTTGAGGCAAACAGCTACCCTGATAGCGTTTTCTTGCGCTAACTGACTCATGTGAGCCCTGCCCAGTGTTTACTTATGTTTACTCAAGTGTGTTGTGTGCGCGCGTGTGGGTATGTGTGTGTTTGTGTATGTCACTGGGTTGGGGGGGGGGGGGGGGGGGGTAATTGTCAATGACATTTGTGGGATATGAAGGGTCTTTTTAACCCTCCGGAGGCAGGCGTTGCAGATTTGCAACAGTTTAACTTACCTGGTTACTCCACATACGTTTTTCATGGGCATTTTTTTTAAACTCAGAAGTGCCCCTGAACAGGGGCGCAGATAGGATTTTCAAACTGGGGGGGGGGGACAAAGTTCCAATGTACCCTCCCCCAAACACACACACACACACACACACACACACACACACACACACACACACACACACACACACACACACACACACACACACACACACACACACACACACACAAACACACACAAACTATTGCAAGTGCCTTAACTAGAGCTCAGTCAGTTTATGTAATTTCATCCAATGGTTTACGTAAAAACGAACACTTTTATATACGTGTTTGAAGCCGTTGTGCAGTGGAACGCTGGCAACAAAGCTCTGCCTGATCAACACTTTAAATGATTAATGATCCGCACTTGTATAGCGCCTCTCAGAGTAAGGACTGCAAAGCACTTTACACTACAGTGTATCATTCATCCATTCACACACACATTCACACACTGATGGTGATAAGCTACGATGGAGCCACAGCTGCCCTGGGGCGCACTGACAGAAGCGCCCCACTATTTCATTCAGTCATTTTACTAACCAAAACCTCATACTTTATGCAAAACATTAAATGATTTTCAGCATACCAATCTTTACAGAAAACATAAAAGTCCTACAAAACTGCACATAAAATATATTTAAAAAACGAAATTCACTTATCACTTAGAGCAGTGGTTCCCAAACGTTTCAGCCTGACCAACAGATGTTCCTTCTTATTTTTATGTTATTTAGAAATTGTCATTATTTTTGGAAAGTTTTTATTTATATATAAATGTCTTTTAAAATGTTATATTTTACCTTTTTTATGATTATGTGACACACTTTGAATTCCATACATAACGCATTGACATCTGCCCCTTTTTACGGCTTTTTTGTTACACTGTCAATACGTATGTCACATTAGTGGTGTTTTACCATCATTTCTACATCCATCACATTCCAAAGAAGGTTAAACAAAAATCAAACCCAACGTTTGGAGCTTGTAAACTCCACACACCTCTCGTGCAGCACCAGCTGTCTGATGCTGCAGCAGCGTCAATCGTCCCGGCTGGATGAGTGAATTTCTTCATCAGAGTCAATAATCTGCTTCATAATCAGAGTCAGTCATTACCAGACAAAGTGATCAGTCAACAAAGACCAGACCAGCCAGCAATTATACGTTTTATCTAATATTTGCGCTCTTCATGTTGCACGCATCTCCTCCTCTTTTTGACTGGGAGCCTCTCAGCGGGAGGCGTTTTTCAAACTCTAAAAACTCCCAAACTTTGCTCAGCCTGAAGGTTCCACATCTCCACTATCTTCTGGTGTAAAGTAGTAACTTCATGAGGGATCATATTTGTAGATGAGACTTGTTAAAATCAGCAATGAGGCTTTGGCGCTTTTAACGAGTAAGTCCCAACACTGACAACAATGTACAGAAACTATAGAACCAACATGCATAAACAGACAGATCGGTCCCGCCTACTTACACTGTTGTTTTTTTTAAAATACGCAGTAATTGTTGCCTTTTTCGCTTCATCCTGCATCCTAGTAGCATCCACTTTGGCGCCTCTGGAGTCAGTGTTTGTTTACGTCATGCTGCATTCAATGTAATTAGAAAAAGGAGCTTCAAGCACTTAACCTCCGATTTTGTTTTCTTTCTGGCCTTAGTGCGGGGGACGGATCGGGGTCGATCTGAATGGGGGGGTAGATCCCCCCCGTCCCCCACCCTATCTGCACGCCTGCCCCTGAAGGACTTAGTTGTTCGTCCTTTTATCAAAAATTATTTAGAGCCTGAGAGGGTTAATCTGTAAAGCACTTTGAGTTACATTTTTGTATGAAAAGCGCTTTATAAATAAAGTTTGATTGATTGATTGAAACAGAATACAGGTATGTTCAACATCACTAAAGTGGAAGAAACAAAAGGAGAAATTCCTCCCATTATACACAATAATTTTGGTCAGATTTTGAAAATATCATTCATAATCAGCTCAAGTCCAGACTCATTAGACCAGAAAACTTTTTCAAGTTTCCTTTGATCCATATAGTGATCATGTGGGAATAACAGCCTCAGGTTCCTGTTCTAAGCTGACAGGAGAGACACCTGGTGTGGTCTTCTACTGCTGGAGTCCATCTGCTTCAAGGTTCAACATGTTGTGGTTTAGAGATGCTGTTCTGCTGACCTTGGTAGGAACCAGTGGTTATTTAAGCTATTGTTTGACCTTTGACCTCAACAAGACAATTTTATTTTGGCTCTTTCAGACCATTCCCTGTGAACCCTATAGAGATGGTTGTGGGTGAAAAACCCCACAGATCAGACCAGCCTATACTAATAACTGTGATACATTTAAATCGTCATCATCGTTTTAAAGCTCATTAGAACTTCAGTAAGTCCTCTCACGCGATTGTTTAAACAAGCAATAGAACATTTGTACCTAATAAAGTTGTCATGGTGGTGCAACAGAGATAATGCAAAAGATAAAGTCACTCAGACAAAGAGCCTTTTGAGTCTACTCTGAGAGGAAATGAGCTGCACCAGAGTTCAGGCTAGGTGAGCAGGTTGTTGTCCAGCTCTAACCTGTGAGACTCTTTTCATCCCTTGAGCAGCTGTTTTTGTTCACAGTAGAAATCCAAGTTTTTTTTATTTATTTGCAATTTTCTTTCTATTAGGAGAAAAAAAACTTTCTAATATATGAGGTTAAAATGTGACAATAATAATATCAATAATATATGAGGTCCCTTATAAATGTGTCTCTGCACACTTGAAGACTTTGTGTTCATTTAATAGTAAATATTTTAATAATCACTGAGCAGAAATGTGTTGGAGGGAAAAACTTTAAGTCCTACTCAAAGTGTTTTCCCAGTTTGCTCATGGACTTTTTGTCCCTTCATAAATACTCAGCTGAGCAGGGCTGAGTCTGATTTAAAGTGGAAAAAAAGGAGCATTGCTGATATGGCGTTTGGAGTTTATAGTATTTCATACAGTAAAGAATTCAGCGATGGTCTCGATTTACAACTTTTTCCACTTCCTTTTTCTCTCGACTCACCAAATCCTATTCAAGGTTTGCACAATGATTAAAGTGGCACCGTCTCAACTGTGTGTTCTTATTTATGATGGTAAAAAGTTCACATCAGAGTGCAGTTCCTTCTCATTGGATGTACTTGGTTTCCTGCTATTTGCAGAGAGAATAAATTACATATCTTTCCTTTTATTGTGAGATTGGGTGTGTTTTTTTTTTGTCTGGACATCCAAAATGATGTGGTTGTTGTTTTTCAGAATTGCTGTTGTTAAAAATAACTGAAGGGTGTTAAAACTGCATCTAAAAGGCAAGGGGCTGCAATGAACTTTGGCCTTTAATGCAGTTAAGGCAAAGATTAGGAGAAAGGTGCTAAAAGATGTAACTTCTTCACTAATACAAGATGAATGGAGTAGGAGATCAATGGGCAGATGTGGGGTAAAGAGAGTTATAGCTTGTAAGCTAGTGCATGGAGAGACTATTTCTGCAACACGTCAAGGCAGGTGCTCTACCTTTTTCCTTCTTGGGTCAATGATGATATCTTTGGTTTTGTTGGTGTTCAGGGTCAGGTTGTTAGCTGTACAGTCTACCAGCTGCAGCACTTCTTCCCTGTACGCTGGCTCATTTCCTGATTAGGCCCACCACGGTTGTATCATCAGCAAACTTAATGATAGTGTTGGTGTTGTGGGTGGGCTTACCCTCACAAGTGTCACTCACAATAAATGGAGCAAGTGGAGAGGGTGTCACAGTTCAAGTTCCTGGGCACAAACATATCAGAGGACCTCACATGGACACACAACACCAAATGTCTGATAAAGAAGGCACAACAACGGTAATGGGCAATAAAAACCCGCACCACCAGGCTGATAAACAGCTTTTATCCAAGAACCATCGCTGAACTGAATGGACAGTGATTCTGCTGGACAATAAGTTCACTACAGCACCTTGACATTTAGCTAGTTCATCCTGATACCTCAACATGTGACTCTTCACATTTATATTATGTTCACTTTAAATTTCAGTTTGTAGTTTAGACTTGTCTTATAACCATGTTTACATTATACATTTTTGCGCCTTAGACTGGCAGTTTGTGTGAAAGGTGTGTGTGTGTGTGTGTGTGTGTGAGAGAGAGAGAGAGAGAGAGAGAGAGAGAGAGCATGTGTGTGACCTATATTTTAGCCTTGCTATTTAATTTTACTCATATTTTTGCTACCTTTTACACAAGCTGTCTTTAGTGAGTGCAAAGTCAGTTTTGTTGTACAACTGTGCAATTTTAAGTAAATAATCTTGATTCTTGAAAATGTTGCTCTTGAATTACAAGTTGATCTACTTTCCAACCCTCACCTTTGGTCATGAGCAAGGAAAGGGAGGAAAGATAAAATAAACGAGATGGTGAATAAAGGCTGCAGGATGGGCAAGCTCAGTGTCAGTGGAATTAGGAGCTGGGATGAGAGTTGGAGTGAAACCGCTGCTCTTCCACATTCAGAGGAACCAGCTGAGATGGTTTGAGAATGTGATCAGGACGCCTGGATACTTCCCAGCTGAGGTTTTTCTGGCATGTCCTGCTGGGAGGAGGCCGCTGGACTGACATGCTAGAGGGATCGTATACTGGCCTAGGAACACTGTGGGAGCCAGAGGATGTGACTGGGAGAAAACATATCAGGGCTCCCTTTCTGCCCCTTTGATCCAAACTCTAATAAAGAGAAGACAAAAAGATGGGAATAAACACATCATCACAAACAAGTGTTTGTAATATTTTTGCTCTATTTTTTTCTAGTAGTTCATGATTCAGTGCAGGGCAAATGACTGTGAAAAAAATCTAATAAAAAACTATCTAAACTAAAAAAAATAAAAGAGAGATACTTTTTAAAACAAAAATTAAAAGTCAAACAAATCTGGTTCCATTAATTGAACAAAATCAGAGTTGTTTTAAAAATTTCCAGTGTTTATTTTTTGCACTTATTATATACTGATGCATTGTGGATTCTAAGAGGAGTAAATTATATTAAAACTAGTATATGAAGACCTTCATCAGTGAACTTGTTAGTAGTATTTTTATTCTTGATTTTAAAACAAAAACACAATTAGGGAACTTATTAGAGTAATAACAATCTTGGAATTTAATCATTTAACACGTTTTAGTTACCTCACGCGAATAAACAATATTAATTTCCCTTAAACTGGAAAAGGAACGGACGAGAATCTCGTGCGCATGCGCCACAAAAGAAAACACGGAAGTTGATTCTCTTGATGGTAAACATAGTTGATGTGCCACCGCTACAGATTAGTTTGAGCCTCCTTACAAGTTTTTAGTGTAGTGGTGTTTATTTGACGTCACATTAAGGTAAGAAAATAACCTGAGGTTTGGAACCACAGTGTTGTTGCTTTTGTCGGCTCTTGACACAACGTAGCAGAACTTCTAACAGGCTAATGCTACAGCTAATCATGTCGTTAGTAGCTCAACAACAAAGTCAACCCCTTCTTAAAATGATACAATCTATATTTATTTTTATTTGCTGACTGATTAAAGCTACAAAGCAGCACTCTCAAACTCACTTTTAAAAAGAAACGCTTTCTGTTCATCTTTCAGCTACTTGCTCGTTACAAAGACTTTTAATCCGCTGTTCTTGGCTGTTAACAATAAAACTATTTGTACGGATCATTTCTTGCACAAGGAGCTTTGAAGGATTAACACAAATTTTATGAGATGCCTCAAAGCAGCAGCAGGAAACACTAAACCTAAAGTGTAGGTGAGAAAAGGTTTAAACAACACATTGTCCCATGCATTAATGTAAAATAAAAATAATTAGACACGGTCGGTAGATATTTTTGCAAGTTGATATCACAAATAATGTCCCTTTTCCTGCACATTCATTAAAACTGCAGAAATGAAAAGCTCCTCCATTTTTTGTGTGCAGTAGCCTATAATTATTGTATCCCGTCCACCACTCTATCAGGAACTCTGGTGTATGATGGAGGGATGGATGAAGGGGCTCAAGAGCAAGGATATTTCTGACAGATCCCAAATCCCCTTCATGGACTAAATTTAGGGCTTAAAGTAAATCACATGAGTGGTCACGCTTCTCGGGTTTGTTCTGATCTGTGTTTTCTCTGTGAGGATATCTGCTTGTATTAAAACAGGAACATTTTGTAGGTTTTCTGATTAAATGTATGTCCTTCAAAACTGACTCAACTGAAGCACCAGTAGAAAGTATTTAGGAGCAGCTGAGAAAAGGGAAGTGCAAATTTAAGAGTCAGATATATATTTTTTAATTTGCTTCTTTAGACTAAAAGTGAGCCAAACTTCAGCTGACATGATATTTTACTTACAAGCACAAAAGTACAATCGAAGGTAAATGAGATGGATTTTCTATAATTAATTGAACAGATGTGACACAGAGAAAAGTTTAGAGCCCATTAATGTGATAGCAGGAATGAAACGTTTCAAAGCAGATTTGAAAAGAAAATTTCATTGCAAATTGTTAATGAGGTTTGCATGTCATAACTTTAGAAAATTTTTGAGAATTTTGACATAAAAGAAAAAGGCCCATCATAAAAATGTCTAGGTCTGTTTATATAAAGAAATACAACTAATATATATATATATATATTTACATTCAGACATGAACCAATTAAACTCAGTTTACTGACTTATCGATCAGTCATATGAAGAAGACAGAGCTGCTAGTGGGGACATGTTTTTGATGTTTATCACCGGTGTTTAGCCTTAGTTTGGTTTCAGAAGGGGCAGGACAGAAGCGCACGTTAATTAGGAGGCACAGCAAAATAAAGTAATTCTTGTGCGCAACAGTCAGCAAAATATTTTAATAATGATTTTTCTTGCATACCCTTTTTAGTGATCATTTGTAGCTTAAATCAAGAAGAAGTACTAATGAGTACATTTTGACCATGTTTCTGTGAAACAGCGATTATGTCACACTGAAGGCAGCTGGGAGATACGTGTTGGCCGCTGCAATGTCCAACAAGGTCAAGTATTCACGCCTGGCTGCTGATGACAATGGTTACATAGACCTGCAGGTAAGAGACTGTTGTCATAGAGTAACTGCTGATTTTTTTTTTATCAGAACAACCTTTATTAACACTTGGCTGTTAATCTGTGATGAATCCAGAATATCCAGAGAGGAGTGTTGCTGGAGTCAGGCATGGTTTTGAAAATATCTCACATGAACAGAATCACATTTCATACAAGCATCACAGAGTAAACTCTATGTTGCACCTGAGAGCTATGAGCTGTTTTTTTTTGTTAAAAACAAAAAAAAAAAGAAAATCAAATTTACTGTTAACAAATCAACAGATTGAAGGAAAAATTTTTGCATCCTGATCTTCATTATCAGCGATTCAAACAAGACACTTCATAATGTTAGACACTAGTTATTTACTATATTTAAAGTGGCAGTTGCAGTTTCCTGCCACTAGGGGGCGGTACATTCATACATTTCAGCGTAGTTTTACACCATATCACTGTGACTGTCGCTAGTTTGATAAAACATTGCAGTAAATATGGTTACCTGTGGAGCAGAAAGCATGCAACCCCGGCGTGGCTCCTCAGACTTTGATGGTGCTTCATTTGATTCCAGTGGGAGAATGCAATGCTGAATGTAATTTTATGGTGCTGTAGTTTCCAGATCTGCTTGGGGTCCTGCATATGCCGATGACATCATCATACTATGGCAATACCACTCGGTCAAAATATATCGTATCTCTTTTTCGATTCTGTTCTTTCACATATGTTTTGGAAAGAGTTTAGCAGTTTTGTAATTAAATTCATGTTTCTTACAGCCTAAATGTTTTTGAATGTGCTAGTGTTTCATAAGTCGTACATCCAGCCAATCATCCAGCGTAACATCATCGACAGGCGCAGGACCCTGAGCCAGCCATAAGGAAACATGGCGTTTAATATGGCACCCCCCAAAGACCCTAGACCCACACCTGATTTCATGGTTATATGGTATGAAGCCTTCAATATTTTTCAACAACTGGACTTAATTTTTTCATTTTCAACAATATTTCGATGTATTTTTGGGTTGGATTAACGGTAAAAACTACACATTGTCTCTTTAAAATAAAATATGAAAAATAACATTTAAAATTCATGTCTGATAACCTTTTGTTTTATAAAAGAGATGCGCTGGTGTTTCTTTCCTCATATGAAAACATTTCATGAGATACTTAACAAAACGTCTGGAATAATTTAGATTTAATGATGTTCAGGCAGCATTTTAACCTCTAATAAAGCACTAAATGTTCTGTAGAACTAAAACGCCTCATTTGCCATGTTCTTGCTTCATTCTCTTAGTAGTCATGACATTTTGAACATTTATTCTTTATCATTTCACTCTAAAGCAAGACACTAATTTGCTAAAAACTGTAATAATAAAACACGCAGCTCAGAGAAAAGAATTGGGAAAAAACCAAGAAATAAACTAATAGTTGATGGGTCTTGTGTTTTGCTGTTAGAGTATTAAAACAGATGATCGCTTAAACTATCCATCCATCCATCCATTTTCAGCTGCTTATCCGGAATTGGGTCGCGAGGGCAGTAGCCAAAGCAGGCAGGCCCAGACTTCCCTCTCCCCAGCCACTTGGGCCAGCTCCATGGGGGATTACCAAGGCATTCCCTGGCCAGCCGTGAGACATAGTACCTCCAGCTTGTCCTGGATCTTCCCAGAAAACCTCACTAGAGGTCCAGGAGGCATCCTAACTAGATGCCTGAGCCACCTCAACTGGCTCCTCTTGATGTGGAGGAGCAGTGGATCTACTCCGAACCCCTCCCAGATGACCAAGCTTCTCACCCTATCTCTAAGGGAGAGCCCAGCCACCCTGAGGAGAAAACTCATTTTGGCGGCTTGTATCCGCGATCTCGTTCTTGCGGTCACTACCCAAAGTTCATGGCCATAGGTGAGGGTAGGAACGCAGATTAACCGGTAAATAAACTTAATTTACTTAAACTAAAATGAAAAGGTAAGTGGCCTGTGTTTGATATAGCGCCTTCTAGAGTCCTGACATCCCCCAAGGTGCTTACAACACAATCAGTCATCATCCATTCACACACTGGTGAAATAAAAATATGAAGAAAAAAAACCCATATCCCGTGTTGCCCAGCTCTACATAAGGTGTGTTAAATCTACATACATAGATATATAAATGATTATTATTAGTGTACTAAACTGATGATACCTAAGAGTCTAATAAAGGCTGCACCTCATTTCAGTTCATGAAGAGCCCCCCCAGGGTCCCATACAAGGCCATTGCGGTGGCGGTATTCCTCTTCCTGATCGGCTCCTTACTGATCATCGTTGGGGCTCTTTTCCTGTCCGGAGTCATCCACGTTAAGGTGAGTTTGGTTTGTAAACGTGAGTCATTTCTGTTCATGGAACAGATGGATCTCAGACATCCTGTTGGCTGGGAAGAACAGGTACAGTAGAGCTACAGATGAAGTGTGCTTCTACTCTAAAACAGGTGTTATAGTTCAGGGAATGCAGCATAGTATTTATTGGTTATTTTAATACATTTATTTAAGTAACAAAACAAAACAGTTTCTCTAAACTGAAGCCAATCAGTGAGCTATCTACAGCAGGCAAAGTAATAATTAGCATGATCGTCTCAGCTTACTTCCTGAGTGTCTCACAAATATGCCGCTCTTACAGGTACTTGGATACGCTGCAAAGCTGAAATATTAATAGGTTTTATTTTCCAGGCTTTGAAAGTGCTTAAAGCTGAGCTGAGCTGAGGCTTGTTTAATATTAACCATGGGATTTTTATTTTTATTATTTTCACTCTAATAAAAATCAAATGCTAACTATTAGCTGCACAAATAGTCAAGTTTAATTAAACTAAGTTGTGAATTTCAGATTTTGTGTTAAAGAACAAACTATCCAACCTGACGTAGAAGAAGAAAACAGCAGATTTGCTGCAGCTACTGTGGAAACTGGGGCACTTTCAACTCTTGGTGCATTGAAGACATTCCAGTTTGCACTGATGGACTTTTTGCTGCAGCAAACATTTTGACTTATCATAGCACAGGTGAAGCAGTTTGTTGACGCCACCTCAGTTCCATTACCTGAGCCAGTGAGCCGAAGCAGGGAGGAAAACTGCTCACCTCCAGATTTCCGTTTCTCAGCTGCATGAAATGCGGCAGCTCTAGAGAGTTTAATTTAGACTCGCTGTGACAAACAGAAATATCTGCAGTCAGTCAGGTTTTAAAGGTAGGAACAGTGACAAGAATTCACCTCTTAACACCATTTATGACACACACTTGGGTTTATTATAGTAGCTGTAAATACACCCTACCTGTTTAATTGGTAGATTTCTTCTGCTCCTGCTTTTGTGTGTAAACGTAAATAATGATTTGACAGTGTTAATAGATCACTTCCTGTCAATTATTAATGATCATGACTGGGTAAAATTTTGTAATTACATGGTTTATTATTCTGTCTCAGCCTTCATTTGTAAAAAGTACACACAACTTTGATTTTTCTTTTTTTTTTCTTTTGCGTAACATGTTTCAGCTCATCAAACAAATATCCCCATCAGACAAAGATAACCCAACCCCAACTGTTTTGCTTCAACCACACTATAGGTATTTCCAGCCTGAATGGCCTGTTTTAGGTCAAAGGTCAGATATTCTTCTTCAGGATTTTTTTGGTGAGAGCAGAATTCATGGTTTCACAAAGCAAGACGTCCTAGTCCTACCATGGCTAAACAGCTCCAGATAATCACACTGCCACCATCATGCTGGACTGTTGGGATGATGTTGTCTTCCTCTGAAACACAGCATCAGTTTTACATCAGGAAAAAAAAAAGCTTTTCATTAAATTGCTCCATATTCAACCATTAATTTGTTTCATTAACCCTACCAGTCTGCTAGTAACCAGGCCTGGATGGTGTAGCTAGTAAACTTCAACCAGGCTTTCCAAACAAGTTTGATGTGAAATAAAATAAGGTGAAAATAGCAGAACTTTGTTTGAAGTTCCCTTTTATGTAACTTTATGTAAGTTTGAGGTACAACACTACGTAAAATAAAAATAGGATAGACAGAGAAAACATTTTCTGAGTTTATGTTGATCATATTTTTGTTATAAAAATAAGAAAAGTAGAAGACTACTCCTACTACTAGTCTACTTTTCACTAGAAGAACCCAAGATGACATCCAGTTAAACTCAATGCATGTAAAAAGAGAGTGAAGGTAATTAAATAGTCATGATAAATCAAATCGACGCTTTTCCGGATTTTTTTCTCTGCGTCTTTCTAACTTACATGATTTCAAAGCTTTAATGCTGCAGGAAACCAGTGGGATGTCTGCAGCAACTCCATGCATTCTGCTGCCATCTGGTGGTGAAATGGAGCACCTCCCTCTGCTCCTTTTGGAAGCAGTCTCCACCTCCTGGTGGCTATCTGCCCTCTACATGGAGCTACTGCTGATTTACATGAAAGCAGACCTCACACGGGTGGAAGAGATCATCATACCTCTGTGCTGTGTGCACACAGGAGGGTATTGATGTCGTGTTGGCAGGAAGTGTGGTGTTAAGCATGTTTAAGTGTGATGAGTACATTAGTCCCTACTGGGCTCTGTTCTTCCTCCTCTGGCATTAGCTGATCATGAATTCCAATCCAGTGCTGTGAACAAGGTATTTACCCTTTGTCTCCCTGCTGTAGCAAACACTTAAGACAGTTGTCAAATGATGATTTCATTTGTTCAAGAACTCATACTATCCAAATCAACCTGGAACTATGTAGAAAAGTACTTCCCTAATTGTTAAATCATAACCAGTCACATTATTTAGAAATCTAGGTTCTGTTTAATTTATCACATCAAATAGTCTGAGAAGAAAATAACCCAGAACATCTAAAGCCGTGCAGGCCTCACTTGATTAAGGTCAGAGGTCATGATTTAAAAACAAGAAAGATCCCCAAGACGTTTGGGAAGATAATCTGTTGCTAAAAGTGGAACTTTCTGGAAAGAAATACAGAAATGCATCCAGCAGTCAAGCATGGTGGTGGTACTGTGATGGTCTGGGGCAGATTTGTTACAAATCAGGATCTGGAGGACTTGTTGAATGATGAATTCTCTTCTCTCAGTCCCTTAAAAAGCTGTTCATGATGGAACATCCTCCAATGTGGTGGAATTAAATTAGCTTGTTGATCAGAAACTTTTAAATGACAAGACAAAGAAGAAATCTTTAAAGGGACAAACATTGTTCTACAGTTTGTGATGTGTAGACCTGTGGCTGGGACATGTTATGATGTGGTGGATCAACATTCTGTCATTCCATTCCAGAATCCCGACAGCACGATCCCCATCATCATCATCGGTCTGCTCGTTTTCCTCCCAGGGTTTTACCACCTGAGGATCGCCTACTACGCCGCCAAAGGTTACCGAGGCTACTCTTACGACGATATCCCAGATTTTGGCGACTGAGTCAAAACAAAAGCTTCGACACAAACTGTTCCCTGCTGCTGTTAACTTTCTGAATGCATGTAGCGAACGAAAAAACAAGGAGCAAAAACTTCTTGCTGCTGAGACTGATGTTCATCCTGAAGGGCTCCACGTATCGCTGATATATTACAGATACATGGAAGTTTGTCTTGTTTCTTGTTTGGTCTGTGCTTTATTACTCTCCACACCACGAGCCCCGCTGACCTGGGAGAGTTGATCCTTCTTTATTAGCTGTGAATCAGGGGAGGACGTCAGAGCCGCTGCACCACTTTGCTGTTACAAAACTCCACACATAAATAATATGCTACAGTACTTTAGACAAATCTTCACTGAAACTTTTAAATCACTCCCACTCAGGGTTGATGTCTGAGACGATCACCGTTTTAAAGGTTGCTGTCATATGAAGCAGCTAAGGTGTTGTTTACTGTTTACACCTGAAGCACTGCATTCGTGTTAGTATCCAACCAGAAGTGGGTATTTTTATCGCTCCACCGTATATTTTTGAGTGAAATGTGTTAATTACTAAAGTATTGCTTTTTGTTCAGAACATTTAAAATGTGTTTTTCTTCTCCTTACAATGATTTCATATGAAAATAAAGAACGTTAAAAAAAACTGGAAATGTGATGGATTTGACTGAACTTGAATTATATCATGTGCATTTTTAATGGGATTCTGAAGGTCAGAGGTCATAAATCGTCTTGAAAAAAGACACACTTTACTTAAAAAACCCATTACGATATAAAAATTTCCTTTTGTTGGAGGATCCACCAGGAAAGCAGCAAATTACATTTGACAAACATACAAGCAATAATTCCATGCTGTAGTTCTTTTTTAAAACACAGAAACGGTTTCGTTACCTGTTTTCCCGCTATGTTTCGTTTGCGGCTGCAAACTTCCTCAGGCTGACACTGATGGTGGCGTCACTTTCTTCTCCATTTATCCGCGGGCAGCAGAGGACGTTGTCGCCCTCTACTGCCCGCTCTCCCCTCTCCGATGATGCAGTCCCATGCGCGGTCCAACGTGTAAACTCCATCGTCCCTGTTCATGGTCCCACATCCATGTCTCCTTATCTCGATTGCTTCTTTTATCTATCTTTTGTATTTTTGTTGTTCGGTGTTTATGATCCGTGTGTTGTCCCAGTCCATTAGATGGTTTTCTCTTGTGCAGTAATCTGTTACGGCTGACTTCTTTATTGTACTTTCTGCTTCTTCTTTTGCTGCTCTTGTGTGTTTTCGACTTGCCTCTTTCTCGCACTCCTTTCTATGTTCTATTGTTCGTGTGTTGAGTTGGCGTCCGGTTTCTCCTATGTATGCTTTATTGCAGTTTGCATGGGATTTTGTAAATGAAGTCCAGCTGATATTTTCTCTTTTGGGTGTACTACTATGTTTCTAACTGTTGTGTATGGTTTTGTTGGTGTGTTTATGTCGTTATTTTTATTGTCGCTGTTATTTTTTCTGTTATGCCTTTGATGTATGGTAGGGTGATCACTGGTTTTTGTTCTTGTCTTTCTGGGTTTCTGGTTCTTTGCTTTGGTTGTTCTTTTTTCTGTTGTTTGTTGTTTTCCTTCATTTATTGCCCATGTCTGGTATCCGCAGGACTTGAAAGCATGTTGTATGTGTTTGTCCTCTTGTTTACGGTCTCTTTCGTCTGTTATTATGTTTGCTCGGTCATATAATGTTCTGATTACTGACATGTTGTGTATGGTGGGGTGTTTTGATGTCCATAATAGATATTGGTTTGTGTGTGTTGGTTTCCTGTATGTTTATGTTCTGTTCTGTGTTGTAAAGAACTACAGCATGGAATTAGAAATACGACACAGCAAGAACACACCTAAGATGTTCATACAAGCAATAAAATGTAAACGTGCAACTTTCTGTCCCCTTTTCCAAATTTCTGACAAACAGTTTCAAACTTCACAATCAAAATTCCTTGCTCACAATGAACATATTAAGTTTATTTCTGTCACGCTGCACCAAAGTAGGAGTGACCTCTTACAGAGAAAAACGATGACAATAAAAAAATAAAATAAACATTAAAATATCACATTTTTGTCAAATGATTAAAGATAATTATCACACTCAACATTAATAGAAAAACTTAATTTTTGCACTAATAACAGCATCAAATTAATTCTTGCACTACATAAACTGAACTTGTGGCTTTAAAATGATAAAAAATTTCAATGAGTCCAATCATTAAATGCTACTTCTACTTTTACTTTAAATGGAGACTAGGCAGTTTTGGCTTGCTTTTAGCTTCCTCTAGTCTGCTTAGAAGAACCAAAAGCAAAATGTATCTCCTCTCATTGCGTTTGTCCTTTTAACACCCGAAATGCCTCCCCCAGCCTTCCTTCGTGCCTACAGGAGTGATTCATCACTAAATTCAGCAAATCAGCTGTTTTCATGACCTAAACACGCAGGAAACGTGCTGGAAGCTGACTGCAGCACCAGGTATGTCAGCTCATGTTTTCTACGTCCAACAGACCTGCCCAGCACCCTGAAGTTGCAAATGCGGTATTGTGGCTACAGAGGGTGGTGGGGGTCTGAGTGACATTTCATTAACCATGTAAAGGGTAATTTTAGTACTCGCTCAAGAAAATTATTAAAAATAAGAAAAAGTTGCAAAGTATCCCTTTTACCACAAGAAAAACAACATCAAACTGTTACTTTATTTAGTAATGCTTGGCTTGTTTGCATTGATGTTTTATACATTTACTGAAATTATAAAGTTGTAAACTACTTTCAATGCTACTAAAAGAGCACAAAATTACGCTGAGTATTAGAAAACATGTAAATAAAATAAAAATATAGTTTTTAGGGAAAATAGATTTTCAGTAATTGTTTAAAAATATTTTTTAGCAAAGAAATCTAAATATGTTGGGTTGTTTATTTGTCTAATAATTAAATGCCTTCCTACCACTCCCTATAATTATAAGAAAGTAGATGTTTATCAACTTTGACTCTTTTTATTCCTCCTAACAAGGCAAGCAGAAGTTTTCCAGGTCTGTTTGGTGTGGTGGCCTCCAACTGGCAGTAAAGGACACCCCCTTGTGGCTGCCTCTGAGCCTGATGCTCCGGAGGAGTGGAAACTGAAAAATAAACATCAGACAGAAAGACAGAATAAATAATGTCGTGCCACCGTACTTTAACAAACGTGAACTCAGCGCTGGCTCTGATGCAGGAGCTTACAGGGCAGTGATGTGAGATGTGATCCGAGATTTTTGAAAACAAACAGGAAGCAGGAGCGAGCCGAGGGGAGGGGGACTCCAGCAGAGCGTCGATCCCTTAGCGTCACCTGTACGTGAAAGGAACACCTGTTACCGGTGGACTCTTAAAGGAGAAGCAGAAGCTGCTGCTGTTCGTGTTTCAGACTTCTTAAAGGACCGAGGCCACAGACGGACGCTCCGTTTGGACTAAGATGCCCACAGGTCGAGTTGGTAAATTCACACTCGGGTCTGGAGCTACAGGTGAGGTCCAAGCCTTCTTCTTGCCTTCCAGCTGCTTTCAGAGGATGAGAAATGAAGCTGGCACCAGGGCAGGGCGACATTTCCTTTCAATCCCCTGAACTGTGTCATGAGTTTAAACGGTAGTAATGAAATCTCCATGGGCGGATTTTCATCATAATGTGTTTTATGGTTGTGAGAGCAAGTCACTTTTAGACACAAGTAAGTCCGAGTCTGCAGAGTTAAGCCAGTCTGCTCCCAAGTCCCAGAAGTAGACTGTTTTCTTCTCTAGAAACGGCCCTAATTACATGTGATGTATGGGGTGCTGAGTAGGAAGTTATACATGGGAAATTTACAGCTCTAAAATGATTTAATAATCATTGGTACAGTTATGTTTTTAAATCTCAACATTTAGAATTATTTTATTTGAATATGTAGTTTCACATCAAAATGTTTCAATTTAAGCGTGTTAAACTTTAAACTATTAAAAGAACATCATTCAAAATGCTGAAAACAGAAGTGGCCCACCAAAAATAAAAGCAGGGTGACGAATCAGCTTTGATGGTAAGATAGTGAGTTTGTTTAATCATCATTAATGTGCAGGAGAAACCCATACAGGAACATTTAGACACAATTAATACTAAAATGAACTTTTACCTACCATCTAAGTGTTTTACAAGGGATCTCATCATCCTGCCTTTATTTTGGTAGGCAACAGTCCGAATTTGCACTTACTGAATATTTAGAAGTTTTTGTCTTCACCATTAACAGTACTATGAGATTTTAAATGGAGAATCCTGTGTTCATTTTTGTCGATTTGTACTTCTGTCTCACTGAAAGTGCTGGTACATTTAAAACTAATTTAAAGTTTTACATGCATGTACATTTCATTCAGCAATATTAAGTTTGAACTTAATATGGATGTTAATTTCAAATATTCATTTTAAATGGTATTATTAATTCATTACAGTGTTTTCCTAATTAAATATTTCATTAAGTGACTAAAAGTTCAAACCCTATTTTTATTATGAGGAACTAAATGTGGCACAATGCAGGTTTTATTTTTTTAAGTTCATTACATTATGATTTGAACTCCATAGAATAATATTTATGATTTGTTTCAATTTTCAAACTTTTAGAATTAGACTCAAGAGTGAGCACAGGTCTAATAAATCAGGCATTATCTTAAAAACAAAAAGAAACTAGTTATCTTTTACATTACTATACATCGTGATTTTTATCATGAGAGCGCTATATGAAAGATTGTTTTCTTTCTTTTACATGACATTACTATCTATTACACAACTTTTTAATAGTTATAAAAACATTAACTACAACTGTAAGTCGCTTTTTGAAATTAGTTTTCACACAGAAATGGTCTAGTTTGTTTCATAATACAAGATGATCTAAAACCAGCACCTACTCCTGGAACTACCGGAGAAAATGCAGAGCCAGGCCATAAAAGCTCTGTTTGTTTCCTGTGCAGACTTTGTCCAGAGACCTGAGTCTATCTTCATTTCAGTGATTATGGGAGAAATATTCTCCCAGATGTGCTGTTTAATGATTTTAAATCCTCTTGCAGGTTGTAATCGAGTCTGCTGAGACACCAGCTGTGCCTCAGCTTCATGAAAAATTTTTCCATAAAGTTTCCATTATCAGACGGAGCTCAGTGACGATTAATGAACTCGTGAGGGAGATGAACTTTGTGTGCTGTTGCTTGAGCTGTAAACACTTGATAGTTGTTACCAAAAGAAAAGTCAAGTAGTTTACAATCCCTGCTGACCAATCACCTTTATTTTTATGTACCCGTGTTTTCTTACTGCTATGGTGACACAAGACTCACCAAATAGCTCTGGATCCTTGAATACAACCCTGATCAACTGGTAGATTCACCAATTTTTTAATGGTTTTTCAAAGATGATTCTTAGTCGATGTGTGAATAATCAAAGATTTTAGTTTGCGTGTTTGCTGTTGACCTTACATTTTCTGCTGTGTGGACATCCTGTCCCATCACAAGCTTAGTGTGTAGTCTGGAAGTAGCTTTTCAAAATGGAGACTTTCAAAAATCCAATTGTTTTTGACCTGGCATCCTATTTTAATGATCAAAACCAACAATAGATCTTTGTATTAGCTATACCAGTTTTTCAACATTTAAGATTCATTAGCCAAGCTGAGAATGTTATTAATCTGTATTTTGAGGTAGGGACGTGCGATCTGACGATAATGGATTGTTAAGGATTATAAAGTGATGACGATCTGCTAAAGCTTGGAGATCGTAGAACCGTCTATTTGCATTCTATCACCTGTGCCATTATTTCTGGACGCGTCTACCGGCACATTTCTTCACAGCCAAGTCACGCTATTGGCTAGTCCACTTCTGTCGACCTGACAGACACACCAAGATCAAGTTTAATGCAGTGTGTTGGCTTGTTTAACTGGGATGCTCGCTAGAGCTGAGGAAAATTATCTCACAATCAGTGCATTAAGATGGGGACATAAACGATTATGAATAATTGAAGAAGCACAATAAACTCGATTACAGCAGCTAGCATTAGCCACTAGCTTGCTCCATCTCTAAGCTTTCACTATGTGTATACCCGTGCATCTGCTAGATCAGGGAACCTCTGGGTCAATGTTCTGCTCTAAACTTTGCATTTAGCTTTGTGACTTTTATTATTTGGTGTCGTTTATGTATGTTTTAGCGAGCTTTTTCACCGTGGCTGCTGGCCAGGGGCGTTTCTCAAAGAAAATGGTTAAATGGAACAGACTTACGACTGTGGCTTCCACGGCGGTCACGTAACGTCACATGACACGTGTATCCTTGCTCAGCTAGCTAAACAGCTATCAAACGCATGCCTCGGTAGAACTTGAACATTGGAACACGTCTTGGTGGCTCCTGATGACGTATCTCCTAGGCAACCAGGGCAGGGCCAAGACATCAAGGCGAGGTTCCTTGGCATTGAGAAACACCCCAGAGCTTTCTTTATGCCAAACCCCGCCCCTGCATAATCAGGAAACAACTACGGAGAGCAGTGAAGGACAAATGGTGAGTGATGAGTGTAATCCTGACTAGAGAATGCATGAGATGAGGATGCATAGTGAATTTAGCTTAACATGATATATTTTTTCTCTGGACAAGAAATAATTACTGGTAATATTGTGGATGATAGGATATGAGCCACCTCTACATATAATTTAAATAATTTTACATTAACTATAAATATACAATGATAAGTGCCTGTGGGACATTTGAGATATCTAACTGTAGATAGATAGATAGATAGATAGATAGATAGATAGATAGATAGATGATAGAGAGGTAAAGGCAGAGATAGATAGATAATGGAATTTTAATATTTTTAGGATTCTGAAATCTTTTATCCTATTTTCAGTGAAGGGGTATGATTTTAAATGTATGCAATTTAATGGTAAATAACTTCCAAAATGTCTGAATTGTCAAAATAGAAAAAAAGCCGTGATAAAACTGATCGTGATCTTGCAAAAACAAAATTGTAATGTGACATTTTTCCCAAATTACCCACTCCTATTTCGATGTCATTAATGAGGACTTTAAGACCATCTAGTGGCGTGGTGCTGGATGGGCAATTCATCTTTGTTTTAAATAAAGTGGACAGTTTTTGGGCATCTATAGCTTTGATTTACTGTAATTTTGTGATATAGCAATAAGTCTTGAAAACACTGACCTCTGTGTTCTGGAAGTGTTGGATGGTAAATCTCAGCCCTTTTTCTAACACAGTTTAAACACTTTTTTAATTCACTTTTGTCACCTGGAGCTGCTTGGTTTGAGTTTGCTGTCACAACGAGACTCGAGATTTGTAAAGCTGAGACCTTAAAGGAATTTTCCTTTAGTCATTTTAACGTGTTTATGTAAAAAGGTATAAATAAGTAATTGCCATCTCACTGGTTGTTAATGGCTTTCTGAGTGGCTAACGGCTAGTCTGAGCACAGCTAGATTTCTGTCAGCATGCAGAGTTTCCCTTTGACCCCCGTTATGTTCAAATATTAAAGACTTTTTATGAACTACAGCTTTGGTTTGGCTTGATTCAGCAGCAGAAAGTCCCATGGGGACAGGTGTGTTTTGCATTGCAGATCAGCAGAAAGGCACCAGACGATGCCTCGTGCTTAGACTCTTGTTGTCAACACGATACAGATGGCAAATATGCAAAACATCCACCTCATTGTTGTAAAATTACTGAAGAACACTTTCTTTTTTATCTTTACTGAGTTAATCAGATTAAACCTTCAGCTAACATCTGACTCATTTGCAGCTTTAAACACAAAGTTTATGACTTCAATCTGACCTGAATATTGTTGCTCTTTACTTGGACGCAACACTGAGACTTTACGGCGAGCATATTTAATGAATTCAATCGACAAACGATTGTGGCGTTCATCTTGATTCAAAGAAACGACACCATATTTTTGTACTCTGAGCACAGTGATGCCCACAAAGTGGAAACTTCTTTATTTAGCTTGTTTTTTTACTTTCAGTCTGTCCTGTTTTCCCTTAAGTGCACATCAAACCCAGCCACACTGAGTTTGTATTGAGAAGAAAATTGTTTGGGTTTAATAAAAGGCTTTTCTAACACATGTGGAGGCTATGAAGGATGTAGATTATCAGAGGGCAGATACACAATACTGTAAGCAAGCTTTGGAAAACTCCAAAGCAAAGCTGCCAGGATTTCAGTGAAGATCTGGGTTGGAGCAGGTTGAATGACAATGAGGAACATTTTTTTACCCATGAGAGGTGGCTGACGGTAAGCGCTCTGACATGACATTTCACAGTCTCAAAGATCTCAGAGATGAGAATAGTAAAGGAAAAAAATAAAACTGGGTTTGTATTTTGAAATTCTTGGAATATAGTAGATGGTAGAATTATTAGACACAACAGAGATGAAGCTAATATTTAAGAATACATAGTGAGTTTTAATACTTTGGACGAGTTATTTCTGACCAAATGTTTGTAAAACCCATAAACAATGTTCTTTTTGTGCAAAGGTTCAAAACCGAAGCAAAAGTTGAATGTTATGTGCAGCCAGCCACCAGAGGGTGCTTGTTTAGATTTCTGTCTTACGTTACTGACCTGGGCTTGGTTTAGAAATTGTCATAGTCCAATCTATATTAGCAATGCATTTTAATGACATTTAAAATGTAATTTAGTCTAAAAATGTTTTTAAAGCAGTTGTGGTGGTTAGAGACCTTGGCAACGTACATTAACAGCTGCCTCATATACGACCTAGCATCGACAGGCTTCAGTTTTCAAGCTTCATGTAAACTTAGCAGAGAAATATCTAGAGTACTGCAGAAACTGAGATATTTTCTCACTAGATTTCTGTATTTGAACAATTTGAACAATAACTTAAAAATTTCCCCCTTTCAAATTTGGGTTGATCTGTTTAGTCTGTGTGGAGACGAAGGCATAAAACGTAAATACATCTAGGTTAAAAAAATCCATAGAAGTTAAGGTATGAGTTAGGACTGGGCGATATATCAAAAATGCATCGTTATCAAAATTTCGGACTCTAATCTATATAGTTTTTCCCATGTCAATAAGTTTGATAAAAAATGAAAAGATGTGTGGAGGTTGGTGACATTCATGTTACTTTAAGAAGCTGTACCACCTCAAGTCACATGACAACGTGACACATGACAGCCCCATCTAGTGGATAACCTTTGTTTTTGCGCATGCCTTTAGTTATCGTCCATTTATCGTTATTGAGGTGAAATCCTCAATACATTGTGATATTGATTTCAGGCCATATCGCACAGCCCTAGTACGAGTAAAACTTTTACTGTCCAAAGAGCAGCTTTGGTTCACAATTGTAGTAAAAGTGTCGAATTTGATGTAGATTTTCACTAGTGACCTTTTGCTGAAATCGAGATGAAACCTAAATTCCTTTTAATGTATTGTGAGCATGCGAACACACAGAGAGGCACATTACCTCATCTAGTCTATTGTCACAACTTATCCTGAAACCACTTCTGGCCCCAAGACATCCAAATGGAGTATTAGGATTAGTACCTTCATCACAAAGCTGTCATATCCAGTCTTGTCTGCTGCCCTCTTGTGGAAGAGCTGCATGTGTCAAGGGTCTATTTAATTTGTCTGTTGCTGGTATATTTTTTATTTTTACAAAATAAAGTAAAACGATTCATTCTTAGTTTTAATAGCATTTGACAAACAGTTCAGTTGAAAGGTGTAGTTTACTGAAGAAAACATTTTTAATTATTATTTCTGATTATAATCGGTCACTCTGTGTTTTTCATGCAGGCTGAACATGAAAATAGGTGTAGGAGACTATCTCCTGCATTAGCTTTTGATAGAAAATAGACGGCGAAACTCTAGGATTAGAAAAGCCTGACAGATCTACGTAACACTGTCACTTAACATTCATGGACTCACCCATCTTGGCTCACAATGGGGAAGGCTGGTTTTTTTAGTGTGCAGGAAAAGGTAGAGAATATCCCAACAGGTAGAAGCTAACTGTTAGCATTAGCAACACCACCACACAGAAAAACTCCTCCAGGCTTGCGTTATTTGTGGAGGTAAAACCTCCATGTTGCAGGCCAGTGGTGGACTCATGTTGCTGTTATCCAATCTGAAAAGGGATGTCCAAATACCAGGTAATAAGACTTTAGATCCTGCCATCTGCTGCTACTCTCTGCTACAGCAGACCTGTCCATGCTGATTAGGTCTTTTTATGTCCCGAGTACGGCTTGCAAGGCATTCATTCTAACCAGAGACCACTGCAAATGTATTGATGATAAAGGTTCCCCATACCTTTAAAAAAAAAACTAGACTTTTATTAGTATTTAAAGTGGTCAATAAAAAAATGTGACTGAAGTTATTACTGGATGCTGCAATAATAGTGTTAGTTGCAGTAGTCCAAATCCTTATCATTTTGTCATTTGTACTTTAAATATTTAAACTAGCAGTTCCCAAAGTTTGAGTCAGGACCCAATTATCACATGAACTTATCCGTAGTTGTAACTAAGCATTGAAGCCCTTATTTCTGTTATCGTCCAATCAGATCTCTGGTTAATTATTATTATTGGGTGTTAACCTGAACAGTGTGGGAACCAACTAGGAACTAGAAACTAGGTCTATTTGTTGCATTGAAAGCTTCTTTATTCTAAGCTGATATTGAAGGTCTCAGCTCCTGATCTGTAATAATGAAATCTCTTTACAGCTTTCCATATTAGTGTTTCAAGGCAATCACGTGACCTTTTATGTGCTCTCCTTTCAGAGGTTGAGCTTGTGTCGCTGGCAGAACCAAACATCCTTGAAACAGAATAAAGTCGTGTGCTTCCTTCCAGAACAGTGTTGACTTAGCTGTCTGAATTAATAAGCTGTGACGTATAGACTTGCAACAGTGTGGATTCCTACTGAAACCTCTGGAATAAGGACGCTTTGATCAGAAATTTTAGTGTAGGTTCTGGTTTTGAACGCTGCGCCGTGGCCAGGATGAGTTGGCTCGTGTGCTCGCACAGATTAAAATTACAACAACAGAATTTCAGCAGCATGCTTGTCAGTGACATTTTCATTTCTATCTGGTGATAAATCTCCATGAGACGGGTGCTTTCTGCGTGCTCGTTTATTATAGCTTTAAAGCTCTAGTGCCATCCCAGCTGTGCTGTCAGTGTCAGAGGAAGGCAGGCTCAGTCTGAAGGAAACGTCTGGAGACAATCTGAGTTACTGTGGTGCTGAGTTCCTCCAACGCAGGCCACTTTGTTTGACAGCTCTCTGTCTTCACTTCTGATTTAATGACAGAAAATGTCCTGCAGCTTAATGAGATATTTTTTGTCTCTCATCTCTTGTCTTGCTGTGTTTGCCTTACTTTCTCTCTCTCTGTTCTCCAACTAAAAGATATTTTTGTGATTTTATTTTTTGGGGCTTTGCTAGTGTTGATTTACTTTATTGCCTTCTGTTTTGACCAAAAATAATTTGGGCCAATAAAGCTTTAAAGACGCTTTTTGTTCATCTGGAGCTGAGCGTTTTTGTGCTGATGGAGTTAGCAGGTGACACGTCTACCATCATTAACATGATGAATGTCATTATCGGCTATTCACTTCCTGTCATCTTCATTCTTCTGAGTTAACAAGAGACATGTGATGAAGAATGAGGAGAAGATGCTGAGCATCTGTTCATTATGAGCCAGACGAGGATACTTAGTGGTGACAGCGCGCACGCTTTGTGAAGAAAATAAATCATGATGTTTGTCCTTGGCTGACCTTGACAAGTTCCTGCAATCATCTACAATAACGTGTTTGGGGTATTTTTTGCATATAAGCATGCAGTTGAAGGACAGGGGATCAGGGTGTTTATGCTCCAGTGGACAGTGATCAGCAGACGCTGCGGACTGAGATTTTTTAATTTTTTTATTTATATTTTAATCTTTTGTGCTGCACTGTTTGCTGAAGCATGGTAGTGTGTGGAGCTAAGCACGGCGGCTGTTGACAGCCTGTGTAATTGTTTTCTCCTGCTTCAGACTTTGCCTCAGCCATAAATGTAAAAGCCCATAAAAGCCTGATGACAAGGAACTGAAAATGGGGTTTAGGTGTCCGCCGGCGTGACAGTGTTCAAACCAGGAAGTGAAGAGATCACTTGATGACGAGGGGCCAGATGTAGAATGAGATGTTGGTATTCCACAGTCATACAAATTTACATGTTTCTCATTACCCATTAAAAGGTGGCTGATGATGTTTTCGTCCATGTTTGTCGTTGTTTGTTTCCACTTCATGGACTTCACTGGAACTCACAAAGGTGCAATAAGTAGGAATTTTAATAACAAAACAGTCTAATGTCTCAGTCATGTTCAAACGGAATTCCTTCTCAGCCACACACACACACACACACACACACACACACACACACACACACACACACACACACACACACACACACACACACACACACACACACACACACACACACACACACACACACACACACGGCTTATTCAGAATCAGAAGTCATACAGCTGAGGCAGACGTAGACCCAAAGTCTGTGAATCTCTAAAATAGATCAGATGTTCATTTTGTTTTGACCTCCATTAGGACAGTGGATGTGTGTGATGACGTCACTGTTGGTATAAATATAAACCTACTGGCTTGTGTGAGAAACAGATGGAGGTTTACAACTGAGTTCATATAAATTGTGTGGCTTTTACTATTTCAGATATAATCCACAAAGAAAAGGTTTAATCTAGAATACGAGGGAGTTTACTGTTTTCATTGTAGTTGAATGATCTAATGCAGCTGACTCTCTCTCTGGTCGATAACCTGAAGTCTTCCCGTCAGCTGGTCAGCCGGTCCTTGACCGCTGTGTCTCCTGCTGCTCCAGCCAAATCTCTCCTCTGGTGTCTGTTAAATAAAATACTCAGGGGCTGGTGCACATATAAATCCAAAGATTTATTTGACATTTATGACACTTTCCTCCAGAAATGAAAAAAGTGAGAGAGGTCCAGCTTTTCTGGCTGTAAAGTCTGCTCTGCCCATTTGTGTAATGATATGGGACGAATTCCAGTTATTGGAAAACTGTATAAAATGTGAACACTCCTTTCTGCCTTCCTGTAAAATGATGACAGAAGTGACAGCTCGGTTAGACTCTCTTTAGCTTGGAAATCTGTCACAGATGGCTGTCTTCTTATGTGCAGCCAGGGAAGTAACGTGTGTGTGACAATTGTGTCTCCTTTGCCAACAGTCTGAACATGCTGCAGGTTGTGTGAGTGACAGATATGGGATCAGCAAGATCATACTGGCAGACTTTTGCTGTGGTGGCACTTATTTGCCATTCTTGTAAGTATCTCCATTGTTTTATTTGAAACATGCTGCTCAAACTGCTGTAGCTGCACCGTTTAGAGCCATTGAGAATGTGATGTAACTGAAACTAACTTCTCGTTTCTCTGTGGTCGAACCCATCAGTCAACAACACTGAAGGCGTGAGGCCGGAGGTCCACGGGAAGGTCGGCGCCTCGATGGAACTGGAGTGCAGATTTCTCTCATCAGGACCAGCTGCTGTGTCCACTGAATCTCAGCATGTGGTGGAGTGGATCCGGCAAGGTCTCGATGTTCCTGTGCTGATAAAATTTGGGTCCTATGCACCTCGGGTCCATCCACGTTATGAGGGTAAGTAATCAAAGTAAGCTCATCTTTAAAGTGGAGAATGTCTGGTCTGGACTCTGTGGTGGCTAATCCATGTGTGAAAATCATGTCTCATGCTCCCTGAACCACTCTTTGACTATCTGAGCCTGATGAATCCTGGCATTGTTACCTTGGAATATGCCCGTGACATCAGGGAAGATGGAATAATCTGGTCATTCAGCATATTCAGGTAGTCAGCTGACCTCATTCTTGGATCACATCCTGTTGCTGAACCTAGACCTGACCAACTGCAGCAACCCCAGATCATAGCACTGCCCCCACAGGCTTGTACAGTAGGCACAAGGCATGATGGGTGCATCACTTCTTCTGCCTCTCTTCTTACCCTGATGCACCATCACTCTGGAACATGGTGAATTTGAACTCATCAGACTACACCCAATTTTTATGCCCCCTAGCAAACTGAAGCCTTTTTTTTCTGGTTTGCCTCAGTGATTAGTGGGTTTCTTACGGCTACTCAGCTGTTCACTTCCAATCCATTGAGTTCCCTTTGTTTTGTGCGTGTAGAAATGCTCTTACCTTCACTACTTAACATAACCCTGAGTTTTACTGTTGTTTTTCTTCCATTTAAAAGTAACATTTAAATGATCACCGATCACGATCATTCAGCATTTCTTCCTCAAACGATGGGTCCCCACTATCCTTTAAATAATGCGTTGGACAGTTCTTAACCCAGTTTTAGTTGTTTCTGCAATCTTATATGTTTTCTCTGCTTGATACGAGCCAATGATCTGACCGTTCTCAAACAGACTAACATCTTTTCCACGACCACCAGATGTATCTTTCAATGTGGTGGTTTAAGAAATGAGAAGCAACTCATTGCGCCAGTTGAGGTTAAATAACTTGTTACTTGCTGAAAGATATGGCCACATTGAAGATATGCCCATGCAGTAATTATCCAATAGGAGGCTCCTACATATTTGCTTAGTTAAATCCAGATGGCGACTTTGTAAAAACAGTGTAAAACCATAAACTGGTATTTTTTTTCACCATTCTTGCAACACTGGTGAGGAAAAGCTTCTGAGCACTATAGATTCAGTGGTTTTTGTCTTGTCTCTTAATTATAAGAGCTGCAAACGTCCAGCTGAGCCAAACAACATGTCTGCAGCTTTCCCCGTTTTAGAATGTAATCAGGCCCCTGTGCATGAGGATGATATCCTACTATCTTCGTGATTGCACGCATGCTGATGTTTGCACTTAGTGTAATGTTTGAAATATAATTATTGATGCCAGTTTTATTGTACCGTGTGAAAACTGTGCTTCACTAAGACACCCACATGAATCCTTTTCATTTTTTGAAGCCAAATTGCAATAATAAAATAAACGAAAGGAGTTTGAGGTTGAAAGTATTCCATTGCAAGCTGCTAGCTGGAGTCATGTTGTTTTTCTTTGAAAGAATGAAAACAGAATCTGGGTTCCATGGTTGGTTCGGAGCCACACCTCGGTGGCCTTTCAACCCAGCTACGTTAAAATGAGCTGAAACTCTCACGTTGCATCATCATCTATTGTGTGGTTTCTGCCCACAGCGCAGAGAACACAGATGAAACAGATCCTCGGTGGGCTCAGACTACCTTTGTGTGGCTTCTGTTCTCCTTTAAAGTCCCAAACAATGGAACGAATGTGGACTAAAAGAAAGGCATGTCAGGTTGGCTCAGATCCACCCCATTTTGTTAGTAGTTTTCTTCTCCATGGAGATGCCTGAAGGTTGTTTGAATATCTGCTGGAGCACCTTCTAATATTTTCATTAATGTGTGAAAAATAAAAAAAAGCACCTGAAGTGGCATGGGGAGAAAAGCATCAAACGGCAAAAATAATTTATGCTGTTTAGCTTACAGATGGGAGTTAGCAGGCTGCTAACTAGCATTCAGTGTTTGACTGTATTTATTTGTTGTTACCAACATGTAAAGGAGGGGCAGGTAGCAGCAACTAGTGTTTGATTGCATAATTAGCACTAAGGCAGCTCCCTAAATGTTCTTTCAACCCCATTCTATATTCCGTTGCATCAGTCAGTGCATGCTGTGCAGCTAAATGCTGCTAAAACCCACTCCTGTTCGTTTTGTTTCCATCTGATGGCTCTTATTCTAGTGGAACTGCCTTTAAGGGATATTGGAAAGATTTTACAAACTATACATTTGCATAACAAAAGTCAAAAGTAAAGAATGTGGATGTGGAGTTGGATGAATGTGGAAAAAATAAAGGCATGGAACACTGAAAACCCATTTTCAATCATTATTTCTGATTGTAATAGGTCACTATGAGTTTTTCATGCAAGCTGAACATGAAAATAGTCTCCTACACCTACACCTGTGAAGCAACTGCAGCTTAGTCCAAATGATGCTGCTAGAGTCCGAGCACATCACTCCTATTCTTAAATCTCTACAATGGTTACAAATATACTACAGACTTGATTTCAGAGTACTTCTACTAGTTTATAAATCACTCAATGGCATGGGGCCGGAACACGTGTTGATTCTTCTGTTTATATGCCAGCAGGCCTCTGAGATCCATAGTCAGCTGGTAGAACCTCGGGTCAGAACCAAACAGGGTGAAGCTGCTTTTAGCTACTATGCTGCACACAGATGGAATCAGCTTCCTCATGACCTCAAATGGCCCCAACTCTAGAAACTTTTAAATTAAAATGGCAAACTTCAAGTTACCATCAGGCTTTGAATGACAGTTCTTATACCACACATTCTGCACTGCTCACCCTTTAACTTAAACTTTTTCTGTTTCTATTTAATTTTGAAATTGTACTTTCTTTCCCGTTGATTTTAATGTTCTTGCTATTCCTGCTAATTGGAAAGCACATTGAATTGACTCTGTGTATGAAGTGTGCTATATAAATATAGCTGCCTTGCCTATCTTCTGCATTCGCTTCTGATGGAAAATAGATGGTGACAATCTTGGATATGAAAAGCCTGACAGATCTGTCACACTGTCACTTAACATTTATGGACTCACCCATCTTAACCATCTTGAGGTTCTTGTGGCAGGGGTGAGGTGGTGCTCACTCCTCACCCCTGCCACATGGACCCAAGGGATAAGCCATCAACCCTGCTCAATGGTCAACTTTCCTCACGGGGTCACCCATAAAGACAGTGGGAGGGTTAAGCATAAACATACTGACCACTTTATTATGCACATCATTTCTGTTATCTAGGGCCAGTCTGACTATCTTCCTCTGACTTTAACAAAACATTTTTGTCCACACACCTGCTGATCACTGGTTATTTTCTCTCTAAATCCTTCATGGTTGTGGATAAAATCCCTGTAAAATACTTTGGCCAGCTCATCTAACTAACATGGTCACCACCATGTCATGTTTTCAGGGGTGGTTCTGAGGGGGATGATGGGTGGGCCAGTAGCACCTTGAATGCAGGCTTGGACCCCCATGAGACCCTCCATCTGAGGGCAGACCCTAACCCTAATCATTAATAAATACAGATTTTATGATCATTTAGGCTCATGCAAGATGTGGAAACAAAGAGTGTGAATGTATTTGAATGAAGTTGAAAAGAGGTACTGAGACAAAAGCAATGTTGCTGATGGGACAAATAACTTAGAAATCAACTTGATTATTTAAATTAAAATTTTTGCAAAATATTTATATTTTGAGACCTATTGAAAAGCCGTTGTATATGTAACGGAATTGAAGTGATGTAACTATTTAAAGTTGTATTTTAATACACTGTAAGTAGTTCACTTTTCATAAACAGCTGTTTTTATCATCAGGGAGTTTAATTAAACACTCTGTATTGACTTTGAGACAAGAAAAGAGAGAGAGATGGGATCGTTTGAGAATCTCTAATTTCTGAATTATAAATTCTAAACAATCTACCAGGACTAACTCTGTGATGGATGAAAATGGATTCGGATGTTGTGTTGGTGCGTATGTGTGCGTGTGTGTTTGTCTGGTTCAGACTCTCTAGGCTGACGTCAATGAATCTGGTCGTCTTTGTTATGACTAGATATCACGAGGCTTAAAAAGTGATGACATGAGCCGCTATTTTGCCGTGTACGTACCCAGTGGGGGGTCTCCCAGGTAGATCAGGAAATGCCAGGTCCAAGAACCTCGGATGTAAGCTGGAGCTGTCGGTGCAGCGATCACAACGTTTCAAAGCCCATCTGGAGGGTCGACCCCGGTACCGTTCGGTGGCGCGTCAGCAGGTGCTCTTATTTTGAAAAGGATGTCGTCTGGTTGTTAAACGACGAAAATCTCCAGCTTCACAGTTCTTAGTTTAAAGAAGAAAACACATCTGGCCAGTCTGTGCTTATCTTTAGGATGACGATGACTAGAACTGAAGTCAAAATGGAACTGACTTTAAAATGGCGTTGCCTTGTTTTATATCTCTGAATTGTTTTAAGTTTCAGTAAAGTGGATTGGACACTTGAAGTCAACACCAGATTCTCCTGCGGCAGCCGAAAGCTCTGATTGGTTGGAACAATGTGTCATGCGTTTCTATGGAGATGAGGATCAGTATGTCTGTGCCGTAGTCCTGTTTTCATTAAACATAATTCATGACATATTTATTTCACAGATCATTCACTTGATTATTGTTGATCAACATCTGTTTTGCTTAATAATTTTAATCACAAATAAAGTACTTTGATTAAGTAAAGTTTCTTCTTCTCCTTCGGACTCTTCTCCTGGAATGTAAACAGTCTGAGGAACACCCGACCTTGGTTTTTCTACACGGGTGTTATTGTGCACAGGGGGCAGCTGTATGGAGTTGAAAACAATGAACTTCATAACCTTACATATATAAAATAGCTGTTTTTTTATTGTTGTAATAAGAACCAAAAACATGAATTATTTAAAGGTATTGTTTGTAATGTTTCCTTGCAAATGTGCCTCCTTGAACTCCTTTTGTGCACCACGGTGTCCGCGGGCACCAAGTTGGTGACCCTTGCTCTACAAACGTTCCTGCATGTTTGAGAAGCATGGAGTTGCTGCTAATTAATTATTT